TCCTGCTGAGTGAGGGAGAATCCTCGCTGCTTTGGGAAGCGAGAAAACGAAACTAACCCTATTCCCCCCCCCGCCCCCGCCTTTGTGGAGGCAGCCATGGCGGCGGGGGGTCCCCTGGAGGAGCTCTGCGAGGGGGGCATCTCTCTCCCTGCAAATTAGTTCTCTGCCGGCGCCCAATCACCATCCGGCCATCAAAAGCAGAGTCGCCGGGAAAAGGGCCGGGGAGGAAGGCAAACCTTGGCGGGGAAACACCTGTTTAGCGCTCCTTTGGGATGTCCCTGGCTGGGACTAAGGAGGGGCTTCCCTGCTGGGCTTGGGGGGGGGTCAGAGATTTCCTACCGCTCCCCCCCTGTGCCGGAGAAGGGCCCCCTCCCACCCGCCGCCGAGGAGGCCTCTTGCTCCATCTGCCTGAAGTTCTTTAGGGACCCGGTGGCCATCGCCGAGTGCGGCCACAGCTTCTGCTGGGCCTGCCTGACCCGCAGCTGGGGGGAGTTGGGAGCCTCGTCCGAGCCTTCCTGACCCCAGTGCAGAGGAAGGGCACAGGAGGGGATCCTCCGCCCCAATAATCAGTTGGCCAGCATCATGGAAATTGCCAAGAGATTCACTCTGCAGGAAGGGGACGCGTGGCGGCGGCGTGGGCGGGGCACGACACTTTCCTCCTCCCCCCGCCGCCTTCTTTCTCGAGCTTTCCTGCCCAGCTGCGGGGGAGGGAGGGAGGGAGGGGCCCCTTCTCTGGCCCAGCCCCCACCTTTCTCGGGAGAGGAGGAGGAGGGGCGTGCTGGGGAGCGCGTCTCCAGGCCCCGCCGGGAGGTTGGCATCTGCGCTTGCCTAGAGCGCAGGACAACCTCGGGCCGGCCCTGTGTCCATGTATGTGCATGTCTGAGCCCCTTTCTTTTCATTTCTATTTGCTAATGTGAGAACCACTGCATCATGATGTGTTTAGGCTATATTCCCTATGTAAACATTCAACTCTCACTATGCTCATATGCTAGGATGATCAACCAATAAAACCCGAGACAGGCCATGCAAACAGAAGCAGGCTTGACTCTCAGTTGCTAGGGTCACTAGGGCAAGTTTATGCTCCACCCTAATGGTGCCCCCAAGCAGCTGTTATTCACTTCTTTATGGAAAACCAAAATGCTTCATATGGGGATACAGCTGCATTGAAATCAAAACTTGCCTTCTTCCCACAACTCTGTGGATTAGTCTTTAGTGATGCAGTAGACCCACATAAGGGCACAGAGGCCAAGGCCTTCCCCTGATGCTCTTCGAGCACTGAGATTCAGAGGTCTGCTGCCTCTGTATATGGAGGTTTCCTTTACTCTCCATGGATGGTAGCCATTGATGGACCTCTCTACTCCATGAATGTGTCTAATCGTATTGTGGCAGGAATCTTGGCTCTGCAGGACCCAGGCAGCAGGCAGGAACCTCTGTTGGTCAGACCAGACGGGAGGGTCAGAAGTTCAGTCCCATGCCACTAGAGGGTAGAGCCAGAGCGCCCAGCCAGGAAGTTTAAAGAGGGTTGGAAAAAAGGGAGGGGAGGACAACATGGGAAGGGAAGGAGCAGCGGGAGCATACATGCAAGGAGAGTGAAAAGCCGTAATGATGGAGGGAATGGGGGGCAGCCACAGGGGCCAGAAAGTTAGAGCTGGCATCGGTGGCAGAAGCCAGCCCCGAAGGAATCCCTACAGTCTGAACATGTGGGCAGCAGTTGCAGATGCCCAGAGCTTGTGGGTGGCAACAGCAGCAGAAGGTGGCTCCAAGGCAACTGCAGGCACCAGGAGTTCAGGTGCAGTGGCTGTGGTCAGCAGAAACACAGGAGAAGCCACAGAAGCAGGGCTGTTGCTGGCAGCAGTGGCAGCAGCAGCAGCAGACACAGGCTTGGAGGAACACTACGGAAGCAGAAGCTCAGACACTGATGCAATGAGCAGCGACAGGGGGAGAGCACAAAGAACAGAATCTCAAAGGACTGGCTTAGTGACCCTTGGGTTGCTGGACTGTGAGACTACAGGGGCTGTTGGCACAAGGGACTAGGAAGCCCTGGACTGCTGCAAAGTGTTAGGACTGCCAGACAAGGGTTGGCCAACCTCTTTGGTGGTGACAGCTGAACACAGCACACTGACAAGGGAAAGACTGGGCGGGGGAGGCACTGGAGTCAGGGAATACCTGTGAGCAACATGGGCTGTTTGTGTCAGGATCTTTGGTGTGAAGTGGCCAAGAAGGATCTTGTTGCTGGCAGCAGTGGCACCCCCACAGTGGGGGTGACCCCTACTGTGGACAGTAAAGAGATTCCCTGGTCTGAGGCCACAAAACTCTGCACATGTATTCGAATAGCTTAGTTGGCTAAATCTGAGGATACTTAAATTTGGTGATTGGAGCCATGAATGGACAGGGCAGATCTTTCTACAAACCTGAAAAAAGTCCCAGGTTTTCAGAAAAACCTGAAATCTAAAACAAAAACATTGGGTTGTTGTTGTTATTGTTTTTAAAAAACTAACCCAAAATGATAAAAGAAGTGCCTGTACCTTTAAAAAAATGGAAGCCCTCAGTGACAGGTGCTAGGCAGCCACAGCATTCTAGGCTTGATTTCTGTCAGTAAAAGGCAGGGGCCTCTCCAGGGCTATTTTGGCCTTTGAGGAAGGACTCACTGGGGCCAGGCCTGGCAGCAACTACTGGGGGACCCGATGCCACCCAACTGCAAAACTCAGTTAGGCCTGACTGCACCACACTGGCTTTCACAGGGTGGTAGGGTTGCCAAGTCCCATCTTCACCCCCAGCGGGGGACTTTTGGGGGGGGTGTTCCTGGAGGGGGCGGGGCATCCCCGACGTGATGACGTCATAAGAACATAAGAGACGCCAATGTTGGATCAGGCCAAAGGCCCATCCAGTCCAACACTCTGTATCACACAGTGGCCAGAAATACCAGTGCCATCAGGAGGTTGACCAGTGGGGCCAGGACACTAGAAGCCCTCCCACTGTTGACCTCCCCCCAAGCACCAAGATGACAGAGCATCACTTGCCCCAGAGTCCCTCTCTATACCTTGTGGCTAATAGCCACTGATGGACCTCTGTTCCATATGCTTATCTCATTCCCTTTTGAAGCCGTCCATGCTTGTAGCCACCAACACTTCCTGTGGCAGTGAATTCCAAGTTTTAATCACTCTTTGGGTGAAGAAGGACTTCCTCTTATCCGTTCTAACCCGACCACTCAGCAATTTCATGGAGTGCCCACGAGTTCTGTATTGGCCCAATTATTAAAACCAGGCTTCGGGGGCAACGGGGGGGGGGGAGCTGAAGACAGAGGGACAAATAAAGCTAGGTTGGCTGTTGGGTGGAAGGAAGCAGGAAAGGGGGACAGGCTATGATGGGTTTCAGGGAAGGATAGAGGAAAGAATGGGAGGGGGGAAAGAGAGGCTTTCTGCAAGCCCTTGCAAATTCATGCTTGTTCTTTCTAAAAGCTATCTATGCTCATGGCTGTCACCTTTGTCCCAAGTGTCTACAAACACATCAGCCATCATAATGAAGGAAAGTTTGCCAATTATTTACAAAAGAGACCTTTTTAACTACAGAAACAAATAAAATACTAATTGTTGTTGTTGTTCAGTCGCACAGTCGAGTCCGACTCTTCGCGACCCCATGGACCATCTCCCACCAGGCCCTCCTGTCTTCCGCCGTCCTCTGAAGTT